GCTGGTTAGCCCACCAGCTCTAAGTAAGTTTGATCACAACACTTATTTCCAGTAACATTTGAAAAGAGATTTTAAATAGATTTTTAGAGAGAAAGAAGGGGAGAGAGAAGCATCAGCTGCCTCCTGCACACCCCCTACCCAGGATCAAGCCTGAAACTGGGCATGTGCCCTGACCAGGAAGCGAACCGGGACCTGTCAGTCCATGGGACGACGCTCAATCCACTGAGCCACACTGACCTACAGTATATTTTTTTTGTGTGTTTATTTTTGTTTTGTTTTTTTAATCCTCACCCAAGGATATTTTTCCATTGCTTTCTTGACAGAGTGGAAGGGGGAGAGAGAGAAACATTGATGTGAGAGAGACTCACCGATTGGCTGTCTCCTGCATGACTCCCACCAGGGCCAGGGATCAAACCTGCAACCTGGGTATGTGCCCTTGACCAGGAATCGAACCCATGACCCCTCAGTCTGCAGGCTGATGCTCCAACCGCTGAACTAAACTGGCTAGGGCTCCAGTAGCATTTTAAATTCCAATTTCTGTGAGAAGCCCTGCCCCTGAATGGTTTCTTACAAGTGGAATTGTTGAGGCAAAGAGTCTGATTATTTATGGGGCTTAATTACTGGACCAAGTATTTGACAGTCCTGGAGGGACTGCTGTCCTTCACCATGTTCTGGGGGGGTGTTCTGGGGCCCAGGCCGACCTTCCAGGTAGTCTGCTGCACTTGACTTCGGTCAGTCCACCTGCCCCCAGCGTGTGGAGGGAGCTGCAGGGTGGGACTGGGGCCGGCAAGAGCATCCTTCTGTTTATAAGGGGGATGGCGGGTGGGACGGTGCTTCCAGTTGGGCGTGTCACCTGCCTTTGCAGCCCTTTGCTGCTGGGCGTGTCATTCTTCGGGTCCCAGGTCCCAAAGACCCAGCCCTGGCTGAGGGATGGGAGCCAGCCCGGAGCCGAGTAACCTTGAGTTGACCCTGATCCACCCACCGCTCGCTGACCTCGGGTGACCAGGAGCTGCATGTGGGAGCTGGGGCAGCGTGTGGCCAAGGCGCAGAGACGGGCTGGCGTCTCCACGGGGCTGAGCCCAAGACCTGCAACTGGGCTGAGCTCCCAGGAGCGGAGGCTGGAGCCTCGTCTGTCCGTCTGACCTCCTCACTTCACCTCCGAGCCTGTGGAAGGCAGGACTGGTCATGTTTTTCTTCTGCTCCTGACAACACTTTGCACAGAGCCGAGTCCGTAGGCGGAGGGTACTGTGGGGGGGGGTGGGGGCGTTGTGATAGGTGGTGGCGGGTGAGAGTACACAGCCACTCCGGTGGAAGTTACTTGTCACTGACTGAGTATACCTAAGTGCGCAAACTTAACGTTTGCATATTCCCTTGACAAGGTCAAACACGTGCTAAATACTGGAGTTTCTTCTCACTTTGATATCTATGAAGAATACTCCTGGTTATTGAAAGTGAGGCCCCAGCGCCGTTCAGCAGGAGCGTGTTCCTGAGACCTGTGTCCTGCGGTGCATGAGTCGGGGTTGTATTTGCAACAGCACTTCTGAGACATGTATTCATCTATTCCTTGTTCCCAAGAGAGGTGGATTTGTGACGTTTCTCCTCCTCATGGGCTGCAGAGAAATAGCAGAGGTGGTGTGAGCCCCAGGGAGGCGTTCAGACAAACCTGACCTCACACTCCTTTCAAGTAAGGGCCCCGTGCTCACGTCCTCTGTTGTATTACTAGATACTTTAATTTGTTTATGATGTAACCCCTGCCTCCTACCTGCTTCCAACAAGAATTTGGGGCAGAGATAAAACTCATGTCAGAGACCAGGTAATTCTCCCATCAGTTTGGAAAGCTTAGCTGGGAGGCTCTGCACAGGGGTTTTTCTAAGGGAGGGTGGGTTTGCTTATTGTAACGTCTGTGGGAACCCCCCTGGGGCAGTAACCCTGTGGGTTAGTCCTCCCTGGTGGCACATAATTGGAAGTGGGGGTGTGAGTGTGTGGGTGGGGCTGCCTGAGGACCTTGAGCTTTTAATCTCTGTCTTCACTGTCTGCCTCCGGTGTCGTCTGGTTACTGCGCTTGCCTGCTACACCCATGTGTTTTTATGTTAGCGATTGCAAAGCTATTCCAGCATGGTAGGGCAGGCAGTTTCCTCCTCCATCCGTCGGTATTTCTCAGGAGGTGGGCCTTGGGCTGGCTGTCAGTCACTCACGGGGGCAGCTTATTAAAATGCACATTCCTGAGCCCTGCCCTAGACCCACAGGGTTGGCATCTCTGAAGGTCAGATTTGCCTCTTTAACAAGGTCCCCATGAAAGTCCAAGAATCACAACTGAAGGTTCTCAGAAGAATGCCTCTGAAAGGCTCCGAGGGGTGGGGCTTCTCCTGCAGGTGTGCAGTGTGTTCTGGGAGTCTGCTGTAGGTTTGAGGGGCGGGGCTTCTCCTGCAGGTGTGCAGTGTGTTCTGGGAGTCTGCTGTAGGCTCGAGGGGCGGGGCTTCTCCTGCAGGTGTGCAGTGTGTTCTGGGAGTCTGCTGTAGGCTCGAGGGGCGGGGCTTCTCCTGCAGGTGTGCAGTGTGTTCTGGGAGTCTGCTGTAGGCTCGAGGGGCGGGGCTTCTCCTGCAGGTGTGCAGTGTGTTCTGGGAGTCTGCTGTAGGCTCGAGGGGCGGGGCTTCTCCTGCAGGTGTGCAGTGTGTTCTGGGAGTCTGCTGTAGGCTCGAGGGGCGGGGCTTCTCCTGTAGATGTGCGGTGTGTTCTGGGAGTCTGCTGTAGGCTCGAGGGGCGGGGCTTCTCCTGCAGGTGTGCAGTGTGTTCTGGGAGTCTGCTGTAGGCTCCGAGGGGCGGGGCTTCTCCTGTAGATGTGCGGTGTGTTCTGGGAGTCTCCTGTAGGCTCCGAGGGGCGGGGCTTCTCCTGTAGATGTGCGGTGTGTTCTGGGAGTCTGCTGTAGGCTCCGAGGAGCGGGGCTTCTCCTGTAGATGTGCGGTGTGTTCTGGGAGTCTCCTGTAGGCTCCGAGGGGCGGGGCTTCTCCTGTAGATGTGCGGTGTGTTCTGGGAGTCTCCTGTAGGCTCTGAGGGGCGGGGCTTCTCCTGCAGGTGTGCAGTGTGTTCTGGGAGTCTCCTGTAGGCTCTGAGGGGCGGGGCTTCTCCTGCAGGTGTGCAGTGTGTTCTGGGAGTCTGCTGTAGGCTCGAGGGGCGGGGCTTCTCCTGTAGATGTGCAGTGTGTTCTGGGAATCTCCTGTAGGCTCGAGGGGCGGGGCTTCTCCTGCAGGTGTGCAGTGTGTTCTGGGAGTCTCCTGTAGGCTCCGAGGGGCGGGGCTTCTCCTGTAGATGTGCAGTGTGTTCTGGGAGTCTGCTGTAGGCTCGAGGGGCGGGGCTTCTCCTGTAGATGTGCAGTGTGTTCTGGGAGTCTCCTGTAGGCTCTGAGGGGCGGGGCTTCTCCTGCAGGTGTGCAGTGTGTTCTGGGAGTCTCCTGTAGGCTCTGAGGGGCGGGGCTTCTCCTGCAGGTGTGCAGTGTGTTCTGGGAGTCTCCTGTAGGCTCCGAGGGGCGGGGCTTCTCCTGCATGTGTGCAGGTGTGTTCTGGGAGTCCACCAGCAGTGTCAGGCGGAGTGTCCCCACCCCTTGTGACAGCTGCTGCAGCTGACTTGGCCAGACCCTAGGGATGCACCGGGTGATTTCTGGGGTTACTTTCCAGTATTCCTGGAAGGAGCTGATTTCTCACTGCTTCCTCCCCAGCCAAAGGGTCCAGAATATCTGACCCCCATGTGCCTCCACCGGTCCCAGAGTGTCTTGTCCCTGCCTCCACTCCCACCAGGACCAGGCTCCTGCTCCCCACCCTGTTTTTCACTGTCCTGCACTCCCTGCAACTTGGGTAATCACACCTCAAGCAACATCTTTTTCCTCTTAGATATTTGCAGACTGAGCAGAACCCGGAGAAGTTCCAAGAGAGCTGAGCAGCAGGGAGGGCGGTGGGGGGTCACTGAGCAGACACCAGAACAGGTTGTGGCCCCGGGGCATGTGGGGGAGCTCTGCGCAGACTTCACTTGGAAGCAGGGCTGCAGGTCTTGTAACACTCACCAGATCTTCTCTGAAAAATGTCCCCTTCTCTGCTTTTCCAAGCCTTTACCTCTCTCCCCCAGTGCTTCCCACCCTCCCTCCAGGACCCAGGATGGCAAATGCAGGAGCATGTACCCTGCTGCCCCACCTCCCCTCCAGCTCTCAGCCAGCCCCCCACCCTGTGGTCTACCTGGACAGACCAGCCCGTGGGCTGGGGCCAGAGCCCCCTCTCTGCCTTCTCAGTGCCCTGCCAGGTGGGAGCCGTCTGCGGGCAGGGGGCCGGCTGTGGGCACAGGGCCGTCTGCGGGCAGGGGGCCGTCTGTGGCACGTTGGCGGTGTGCAGGCTGAATATCCGGCACATGTTTCTCCTGCAGAGAGCAGTTGAGCTTAACTCATCTATCGTCCAGAGACAGCTCCATGTGCCGCCAAGTGTGGTGCCTGGGGAGGTGGACACCTCCAGTCCAACTACATGGAGTTGGTGCCCGTGAGACTTCTAGTGACATGTGAGGGTGGGTGGTTCCTCTCTGGGGGTGGGAGAAAAGGAGAGAGAAACATCGACGTAAGAGGGACACATTGACTGCTTGCCTCCTGTATGATCCTAACCAGGGTCGGGGATGAACTGCAACTGAGGTACGTGCCCTTGGCCGGAATCGAACCCATGACGCATTGGTCTGTGGGCCAACCTCTAACCGCTGAGCCAAACCAGCCAGGGCTTGCAGGCAAGTCTTAAAGTAGGGGAAGACCAGTGATGCCGTTACCTTATTTTTCTCTTTTACCATTTTAAATACCTTTATTTTAAAGTTGTATGCACGGCCTAAAAAGCAGTTTGTTAGGAGCAAGCTGAATCACGGAGGACCGCCAGCGCAGGGTCCTGAGGAGGGTCGGGGAGGGTCCTGAGCAGTGACGTCAGCTCCTCCGGGTCAGCTTGCTGCGTCCCCAACCTGCCATGTTCTTCTGTCATTGCAGGTGATTTTCAAAGCCAAGTCAAAATACTCTCCAGAATTACTCAGATATCGGTAAGTACCGGGGTGTTTTCCCGAGGAAGCAGGTGAAAGGCCCACAGGTGAGCCGCCCCGACAGCAGCAGGACCTTCTGGGTCTCACAGCATGTCCACCTGGTGTAGGACTGAGAGCCCAGTGCCTTTCGGAACCAGGGAGAACGGGGCGGGGAGTGAACCCGAAGCCCGAGGTCCGAGCCTGTGGGAGGTGCTGGGAGTGCAGGCTCGGCAGAGGCAGAGGGTCCCTGAGGCCGCATGGGCCAGGCGTCCCCCCTGCCTCCTGTCCCCTCCCCCCTCCAGTGCAGCAGCGGTACAGTCCGAGCCCTGTCTGGCCACCACCTGCCAGTGGGCTCTGTTCTCGAAAGCAGCAGGCTGGGCACCGTGCTGACTCCGCACTTGGCGAACAGCGTGGCCCCTTAGTGCTCGGCTGGGGCCTGGGGCGAGCGCTGACGGTAGAGGTGTCCTAAGCGCGGACACACTCAGGATCGGCCGTGCCATCCACGGTGGGTCGGCTGCGTGGGCGATCTGTGCTGTGGCCTCTGGGGTCGTGGGGTCACAGGAGTGTGGTGGAAGAAGCCAGGCCTGTGCGGGGTGAAAGGGGACTCGCAGGCTGGAAGAGAAGGCCCACGCCCACCCCACGTTCCTGTGTGTGTGTGTGGGGGGGGGGCGGTGCCTGGGGCGGCCGCAGCTCTCCCAAGTTTGCAGAGAGCTCGGACTCCCAGCAGAGGGCCGGGCTGGGAGGACCCACTTGGGCAGAGGGGAAGGGAGACCAGGCGTCCCCGGACTTGAGGTGGGTGCTGCATGAGTCAGGGTGTCCTGCTGTCCCTGCCCAGGAGACCTGCACCCTGAGGGCAGACATTTCTGGAAAGACAACTGTGGCCACTGATTTTCTTGAATCAAAATGAAAAGTTCATTATTTTGTTACTTTAAAAATATGAAAACGTATACATGTTATGTTTTATTTAAATATATATCTTAAATTTATAAAGACTTTTTAGTTAAAATTCTGAAAGCGTATATTTTAATCCTCATTTTATATCCAAAGAAGCGGAGTTTAGGAAGTTAAGAGACAGTATGCACCGAGGTCCACGCGAGGAGACTGCCGGCATCATGTCCGTTGTCTCCGATCTTGGTGCTCCCTTCATCGGGTGGTTTGGTTCATGTTTCTACCAGACTGTCTGGCTAGGATTTCGGAGTGCGCCCTGCAGTGACTCGGGTCCCAAGGAGGGAGTTTGAAGTGTCGGGTCCTAGTAGACAGTCCCTCCTCTGCCCCCACCCACAGTGCAGGCCGCTGGGGTGGGGGCTGGGAGCAGAGAGTGAGTGGAGGTTGTAGTTGGAGGATGGGGTCTTTCAGGTGAGAAGGTGGGGTGCAGAGACGGGCTGCCCTGGGGAGGGGTTTGCAGAGTCAAGGGAGAAATGCACTAGGAGTCCGATTGTCAGAGGTGAGACCTTGGGCCGGGAAGGGCGTGTCCTCGGCCAGGAGGCTCAGGTCTCACAGAGGGGAGCCCGGCAACTTGGAGCTGCTCATCCCGGCCAAGCGTGAAGAAGTCCTGGGAGCTCTGACTGCCCGTCTCTAACCCTGTTCCGCTTAAGCCAGGTGCACTGCGGCAGACGCTTAGACTTGTCAGCTTACCTGGTCACAGGCCATGAGTCTCGAGCTGCGTGAAACCCCCCCCGCACGCTGCCCCATGCAGTCCGTGTGTCTGAGGGCAGTACCCGTCCCAGGCCCGGCCCGTCCCACTCGCCATCTGCCAGCTCTTAGATTTGGAAAGTCGTTGCCCATTTAATTTGGTCTCTTTCTCCGTCCATGTGTTTTTAATCTTTGGATCAGGAGACGTGAGCACTGGGTGTGGGCGTGCACAAGACTACGTTAATTGTAAACACATTCAACTGTTTTCCCTCCACCTTTCACTTTTGTAAAATGCCCAGCTGGTGTGGCGCAGTGGATTGAGTGTCGTCCCTGCACCAAGAAGTCACTGATTTGATTCCCAGCCAGGGCTCGATCCCCAGTAGGGGGCGTGCAAGAAGCTGCCAAAGGATGTTTCTGTCTCACATCGATGTTTCTCTCTCTCCCCCCCCTTCGTCTCTGTCTAAAAAATCAATAGAAACATAATAATATCTATCTATCTGTCTATCTATCTATCCATGTATCTGTCTATCATCTATCTATCTACCTATGTATCTATCTATGTATTTATCTATGTATGTTTGTATGTATTTATATATCTATCTGTCTGTCTATCTATCTATCTATCTATCTATCTATCTATCTATCTATGTATCTATACCTGTAAAACACTCCAGGCTTTGCTTTTCGCTCTCTGTAAAAAATTAAAAGTATTGAAATTTGTTCATACTGTCCCCTCATGGTAGGAGGAGGTGAGGTACCCAAGTCTGGCAGTTCCTGTCCCCAGGACAAGAGGGTCAGAGCAGGGTCCATGGGGCTGTCTTGAGGACTCGCCTGGGCTCTGCCTGCTCCCCTGTTAGAAGCAGAGTCTTCTGGTCTACAAGCGAAGTGGTCTTCCCAGATGCCGGGTCCCCTTGACTGTCTTATCCTTTGGCCTTCTCTGTCATCGTGGGCTGTTTATCCTGACCCTGTGGTTTGGGTTGAAAGGAAGTTGCTTCTAGGCAGTGTCCAGAGTGTGGCTCCCGGGGAAGCCCTGTGGTGCGTCTGCCCGCCCCTGTGGAAGGCGCTCACACTGCGGACCGCTCCTTCCTCCATAGCTGCAGGCCTGGGGGAAGTTAAGTTCTTAAGGGACTTTTTTCATTATAAAAGTTATGTAAATACAAGCTCATTAGAAAAAAGTATAAAATAGAAAAAAGTAAACGTACACACGTGGAATGATGTGGAGCAAATCTACTGAGCTCCTACCCTTGTCAACCCCTCGGAACCCAAGGGAGTGAAGAGACATCTTTCCTTGTAGGTTTTCATGATACGGACTGTGTTGGTGTTTTATCTCATTTTCAGTGTTGCTTTCTGACTTGTATTTTAATGCTAGGTCATAAGTCCTTTTCCACGTTGTCTCAGGTCTCACAACACAGCCTGTTTCTTTAAGACAATAGGCCCTTGTTTAGCAGGTGGTCCTAGGGGCACTGCGTGTTGGGTTACACAGAAGTCAAAAGGCAGGAAGGTTTTAGGTGAAAAAATTGGCTTGTGTAAGGACAGGAGGCAGGGACGCAGGACAGATTTAGGGACAGCGAGTAGACTGGTTTCATTAGTACTCCAGGTGCCCATAGTTGATCTGGCTCTGGACTGGAGGGTGGAGGGTTGGATGGAGGTGAATTAGGACATGTGGGTTCTGGTCAGAAGGCGTGAGGCACGACTGTGGTGGCAAGGATGGCAAAGGGGCAGCGATGGGAGCAGGAGTGAGGAGTCTGCGCAACTTGACTGTGTGCATGAGTGTGAGTGTACATGAGTGTGTGTGTGCATGAGTATGTGTGACTGTGAGTGCATGTGTGTATATGAGTGTGTGCCTGTTTATATTGGACTCCATGAGTGAGTGTATGAGTGTGCATGAATGTGTGTGTTTGTGCGTGACTGCATGAGTATGAGTGTGTGTGCATGAGTGAGTGTGTATGTGAGTGTGCTTATGTGAGTGACTGCATGAGTGTGTGTACATGTGTGAGTGCATGAGTGTGAGTGTATGTATGTGCGTGAGTGTATGAGTGTGAGCACGAGTGTGTTTATGTGCGTGACTGCATGAGTGTGTGAGTATGTGCGTGACTGCATGAGTGCGTGTGTGTGTATATGAGTGAGATCAAAGAAGATCTTTACAGTGAGGAGTCTGAAAAGTCGCTCGAAGTGATGGTGGCGTGTGGTCATTTGGAACACTGCAGGAGGAACACGAGCAGCTAAGTGTGGACATGGTCTGAGGTGACCTCGCTGGCAGGCCAGCTGGAACGTGACAGAGGCAGCGGCTTGAGACAGTTTTCATACCGTGGCGGTACAGAAGCTCTCACTGAAGAAAGAGGGTGTCGAGGAGAGAGCCCAGGGCGTGGTCATCACTCCGGGAAAGAAGAGGAAGAGGAAGCAGGGGCTCCCCAGGGCAGGCTCAGAAGAGGAGGAGGGGGGGAGCTCAGGAAGGTTGGGGAGATGGTGCCCGAGAGTTAACCTTTGAGTTAGCGAGCTGGTCATGGGGCCTGAGAGCGTGGGGTTGGCAAAGGAGGCTTGCACCCCGTGGAGGGAGTCCTTTTCTAGAACTTGCTGTTGATGAAAGAAGGGGCCCCGTGGGTGAGGATACAGGGGGCGGCAGGAGCAGAGGACCAGGACCCCTGAATCCTCCAGCAGCTCTGAGGTGGAGAGGAGAGTTCTCTGCATTTCACAAGTGAGGACGCAAGCCCCGAGTGGCCAGGAGCTCCCGTCTGTGCCACATCATCTCGCACGCCAGGCGGACGAGCGGGAGGGGCACCAGGCGGCAGGGCCTGGGGGGCGGGGGGCACACAGAGTGGTGGAGCCACGTTGGGGTGCGGTGACCCCTGGTTCCTGGCCCGTCCTCTCTCGGAGTCTCCCAGTGTCCTGCAGTGGCTGTGGACTGCTTTCAACACAGAGGAAGAGGACTGAGAGTTTCTCCCCAGTCGTCTGCACGGCCACACCCACGGGGAGACATCTGGAAAAGCCAGGCATCCGGGGTGCTTGTTCCAGAGGCTGGCGTGTGGGTGGGAGTGCACACGAGCCAGGACCACCTGTCACAAAGGCGGGCAGGTGGTACTGGAACAATAAAAAAGAGGGCTTTCAAGGAACCAGAATGCAGATTTTTGGTGACCCTGCCTCTACTCTCTCCACTGCCCCTGACTCCACGCGAACACGGTGAGAGCAGATAACCCGTGAGCCGCGCTGCCGGCTGCCTCGACATCCTGTGCGCGGCCTCCTGCAGCCCTGCGTGACCGCACGGGTCAGTAAGGGAGGAAGCAGAAGCTTGGCCTGGTTGGGCACCTGGCCCAAGGTCACCCGCAGATTTTATGTTTCCCTGACTCCGTTGGACACTCTCCCCTAAGGCACACCATGGGCCTTAGGGAGCC